CCCCCAACCAGAGAGGAAACCCGGGGAGTGGAAGGGCTCATTTCCCCGAGCGCAGGCAGCCACCGGCATGGGTGGCCCCGGTGGGTGGCCACCCACGGTCCTGTTGAAGGTGGGGCTGAAAGTCCCCCCTGATGGCCTCATGCCTCAGGGTGGCCTCCTCTGGGCTGAAGGACTTGCGCCTGGAACAGGTGCTCTATACCTGGGTGGATTCTAGACAGTTGGGAGAAGGTGGAATGAGCGTGGCCTGAATGCCTGTAAGGGAAGACGGCGCACTCACAGCCATGGGGCTCCTCTCCTGTGAAAACCTCTCAAATGCCAGCAAGTCCCCGGGGGAGGCTCCAGGCCACGGGGATGGACGCCGGGCAGACAGGCCTCTCCCCTCATCCACAAGACATTAACCTCCCAAAGCCATGGGCCGCTGTCACCAAATGAGAAGAGGCCCCTGGGTGGCTTCCGGCGGGGCAGGTGCTGCCGGCCCCTCCCAACTCCTGTCCCTTTGGGCCTGTGCCTGGTGGAACCCAGGGGCTTCCTGACTCTGCTGAGAAGGCAGAAGGCACGAAGGAGACACTGAGGCAGGAGGCCCCGGGGCGGGGATGTCGGTAACATCAGGCAGAATTCTCACAGTTTAGAAACCAGGAGGATGAGTAACTCTTCCCAAACCATCTCCCCATCAGGTCTCCCTCCACCCCAGAGGGGCTGCGACCTTGCAGCTCACTTATCCCCAACACATCATCAGCTGGGGGTGGCAGAGGCCTCCAGTCCCCTTAGCCTGCACCTCGCTCTCCTGACCCTGCCCCTCTGCCCCCCACCCCCCGCCGCCCCCGGCTGTGTGCTCTGGAGCGCCAGCCCCACATCAGATCAAAGGCCCGGAGGATGGAGTTGGAACTGTCCAGTCCAGTTATGAGTGGAGGCCGCGGATCTAGTGCAGGCCACGGAAGCAGCAAGCAGAAGGGCCTCCCACGCACGCACAGACACACGCTCCTGCCCACCCAGGCACACCCTCCCCCGGGGCTCAGCCCAGTGTTTGATGCCAGCAGACACACCCAGGGAGAATGGCCGACACCCCCTTGGAGCCAGGCGGCGGCACCAGCTGCACGCTTAGCACATCCCTATCACCCCCCGCGAGACGCCGCCAGCCTGCTCCCTTCCGTCACTCCCCCTGGAGGTCAGGCCTCCAGAGCTTTCCTGGAGAGCTGACCGGGCCCATATGGCTGGGAATCTGTTGCCAGCATGGGCCAGTACACGCTGGGGCCCCCACAGCTGGCTGACAGCTTCCTGCTCACTCCAGCCAGGCCTCTGGCTTGCTGTTTGGGCTGTGCCATGCCTGCCCAGGGGGGCTGGGGACCACTTCACTGTCACAGCATGGCTCCTGGGATGGCCTGCCCTGTCCTGGCCCACGCCCATGACACCAGGACCCAGGAGAGTGGAGCCTCCCATCAGAGACCCTGGAAGAAGGGACAGCGGCCAGGTCATTTCTGATGGGACGCCTATGGCAGTTCAAACCGTGAACTGCGCAAAGATTTCCCACGTGGAAAGACTGCGAGGATCTCCGCCCATGAGCTGAGGCTGGAGGCTCCGCTGGCCCCGTGGGAATGAGGAGGGCTTAGACAAGGCCATGGCTCGGCTCTGCGTCCTGGCGCCCGGGAGAAAGACCCGCAGAAGCTCAGCCCGTGAGAACACAGGTCACATCTGAAGCCACAGTGAGAGGAACCGTATGAGCGTCAAGGCCAGTGATGGCGAACCTATGACACGCGTGTCAGAGGTGACACTCGAACTCATTTTTTTGGTTGATTTTTCTTTGTTAAACGGCATTTAAATATATAAAATAAATATCAAAAATATGTCTTTGTTTTACTATGGTTGCAAAGATCAAAAAATTTCTCTATGTGACACGGCACCAGAGCTAAGTTGGGGTTTTTCAAAATGCTGACACGCCGAGCTCAAAAGGTTCGCCGTCACTGGGCTAGGCCCAGCCTCAGGCCCCGCACAGAACCCGTGGAGCAAAGGCACAAAACAGCTTCGGGGCAGGGTCTCGGGGCCGAGGGGACAGTGAGCTTGGAAATCGCTGCTGGAAACGGCGCTGGAGACAGGCAAGCCTCTGGCCTTCCCTCCGCGTGGTGCTGGCCAAGAGACGACGACCCCACTCAAACCAGCTGTCTCAGCAGCCAGGACGGTGCGTCTCCCCCTAAACCACGAGACTCTGAAAGCCACGGGTCCCTCGGCACTGTCAGGCCTGGGAGGCTGGCGTCACCCTGGGGTCTTTCCGGCCCACGGCTGGCCCTGGGACCTCTCCCTCCGAACATGCGGACTCTGCCCCTGCTTTCCATTCCCGCCTCCGCGTCTCAGTCACCATCTCCCACTCCAGTGGCCGCGGCAGCCTCCCCTCTGGCCTCCTGGTTCTCCCCTTGCCAACCTCCGGCCCAGCCATCTTTTAAAAACGAAAATCAGATCACTTTCCCTCCCTCCGGCAGCTTTCCGTCACCCAAAGAGTAAAATCCCAAATCCCCAAGCGCACCGAAGCCCCGTGCACCCCGGCCCCCACCCCGGCACCGGAACCTTCCTTCTGCTCAACACACACCCCGAGTGCAGCCCACCGCAGGGCCTCCGGGCCGGCTGCGCTCTCTTTGGGGAATAGTCTTCCACGTGCCCTTCAATGGCTGTCCACTGCCTTCCCATCAATCCCAGCGGTCACCTGCCCGGTCACCTCCCACCACCTCATCCCATGTCCATTCTGCACTAATGGCTTCCTTGGTCTTTTGTGGGTTTGCTTATTGTCCGCCTGCTCAACCGGAACTCCACGCGACCCAGGGCTGTCTTATCCACTCTGACCCCAGTACCTGGCAGACCCCCGGCCCCTGTAACTGGAGACTAGAGATGATCAGCCCTCCTGAGGTGTGGCCAAAAGTGGGGAGAATCCTACCTAGGCGGGATCAGGCCTGTGGGCCAGGCCCAAGCACGGCCTCACCCCCTCGCCCACAGTCCAGCGTCGTGAAGGGTGACCCCGGGTCACCCTTGCCACAGAGGCCCCTGTGCCTGGAAGGGGCTGGATGAGCGAGGCGGGGCTTGGTCAGGATGGTTCTTTCAGAGCCCTTGGAGTTGCCAAGCTTCAACAGCAGCCCAAGCCCGCCGATGCCAGGAGGTAGGGGTCCCGCGGGACGCATGGAGCCCATACCTCATGCTGGGTGCAAATCCCAGCTGGCATGGCCCCTGGGCGACAGCACTGAGTGGAAACTTCGGGAAGGAGAAAAACAAATGGGCATGATTTGCTGAAGAAACAAAAACAGAAGGCCTGCCACTGAGAACAGCACAGGCAAAGGTGCCCCCTCGACAGGGTTACCACAGCACTTGGGCAGCCTGTGATGTCAGGGCGCAAGGGAGTACATCCAGAGGCTCCAAGGCACGGCCAGCTGGCCCAGGACCCATGCTCACCGAGGAGGCAGAGTCGGGCAAGAGCCCAGGAAGGTAGAGATGGCAGGTGCTGATGCCGAAACCCAGCAAGATGGCAGCCGAGAGTCTCCACAGCCCCCCTCCCCGCCATCAGGGACCACGGCGGCACAGCCTAAGGGTGGACAGACCATCCTGGAGTGTGACTGCGTGCTGGACGCCAGAACAAACAGCCCCAGCACCATGGCTGCTCCAAAGGCCACATTTACATCTGATTTGCAAATCCCTGGGCTGCAGCTAAGGCTGGCGACAGCCCCCGAGGTGGCATGGCCTGAAATGAAGCTGGCCTGCCGCTCTGGGAACCTCTCAATCCCCTGTGGGCACCACAGCGCCATCTCTGCAAGTGCTTCCTCCCCGGAAGTTCAAAGTCCAGAGGTGCCGAGCCTGGGCTCGGAGGGAGGGGCAGGGCACGCCTGCCTGCAGCGCCCCTGGGGAGGGAGCACGCAGGAGGGGGACCAGGGCTGCTGACCCCCATCTGGCACACACCAGAGGGCGGCCCCCAGCCTTGCCCTCCCAGCCATTCTCCGGGCCCTCAGCCCCACTCCCCCACCGTAAGACCTTGCCCATCACCTTTACCAAAGCCCAACCCTTCTAGGTTGGTTCCCTCAGGATCATAAGAGAACACTGAATAATGATCAATATGTGAAAAGTAACCAATCATGTGTCCACCCCCCGCCCCCGAAAACCACATGTGATACCTGAGGGTAAACATCGGACAGTATCAGCCCCTGGACTACCCGTCCCTGGCACACATGCCCTTCCTCAGGCAAGGGTGTCTGCCCTTCCTGAGCCTGGATCAAAAGACATCTGTGGGCCCGGATGGTGTGGCTCAGTGGCTGAGCATCAACCTATGAACCAGGAGGTCACGGTTCAATTCCCAGTCAGGGCACATGCCCAGGTTGTGGGCTCCATCCCCAGTGTGGGGCGTGGAGGAGGCAGCCGATCAATGATTCACTCTCATCATTGATGTTTCTCTCTCTCTCTCTCTCTCCCTCTCCCTTCCTCTCTGAAATCAATAAAATGTGTGGGTTTCTTTAAAAAGACACCTGTGGCTTCTCCTCTAAGGTGGGTCCTGCCCGAGCTGGAGGCCCACCTGGGAGAGACCCACCTGGGAGAGCCCCGTCCAGCCACACGGGAGCTCGGGGCGGAGCAGCAGCCTCTGGGTCTGCGGACAGGCTGGACCTACCGTCCTCAGAGATGCCACAGAGATGATGCTTAGCCCCAGGCAGGGCGTCTGCTAGAGCCCAGTCCCCCCTGGAATGCCTGTAGGCTGCTGGCACCATTCAGTGCCATCCAGGGGCAATGCTGGCAGGACTCTTACACCCCTTTCTTTTAGGGGTGGGGAGCCGGGATCCAGAGGGGGAGAGAGCAGTGACTGAACGGCCCAGCCGGGGCCAGGACACAGGTGCCCTAGGATTTTCTCAATCCTCCATTTCTCGCTCTCACCTAGGGTGCCATCCGGGTCAGAGCCCACTGAGAAAGGCCTCGGCAGCCCCTCTTTGCACCCCCCGCCCCGACCACATTTCCCAGTGGCGTCGGGAATCAGGAGCAGCTACCTTTGCTTCCCAAGGGCCGGGGGTCCGAAGTCCATGCCAAAGCACACCCTGCAGCTGCGGGACCCCTTCTACGGGAGGGACAGCGAGGCCGCAGGGAGGTGGTGGGCTGTGCGGGAGTCCTTGCCTTCAGTCAGCGAGGTCTGTTCGCCTACAAAATGAGAAGGGAAGTGGAGGATTAGGCTGCAGCTGAGACCACAAAGCGACTCCAGGGAGAAGGGCCACGGAGAGTAAGGCCTGGCACCGTGTGCAAGGAAAGCGATTCTCGGACCTGCCTGCCAATCAGCAGATGGCATTGCTGCGGCGAGTGCCATGCCTGACCCCAAGACCAGTGCACCCGTGGCACAATTATGAGTCAATTGCTACACCGTGGTCACACCTAACAAAGAAATCGAACAGGTAGAAACCGTGATAGACCGTCAGGTGTCACCCCAGGTAACAATAAAGTGATCACAGCCCAGGCCCGGCACCAGGGGTGAAAGGTCAGTGTGACAGTGGATCAAGCCAACGCTGGAAACCAGGTCAGACCCAGACCCAGGCAACCGGACCAGCCCTCGGGCTCCCCAACCTCCCGCACCCTCCAGGCTGTCCCTCGACCAGCTCCCAGCTGCTCCCAGGACCCCCGGTGGCCTATGGGAGTCTCTAAAAATGGAAACAACAGGTGTCCTTGCAGCTCCCGGGATGGAGTTTGGTTTTCTCTCTTTTTCTTTCCCCCTCTCCTCTGGGACTGCGCCCCTTCACATAGAGAAGAAAAGAGGGTATGCGCACCTCCCACCCCCTCCCCCGCAGAGAGGGGGATGTAGAGATTCATTTGTTATAGGTGCTGAGCCAAAAAAAAAAAAAAACGTGGCCAAAAAACGTTGATGCCCTGCTACCGGCAACCTTTGTATCAATTTAAGCAAATATTGTGGTGTTTCCATGGTGATTCCTGTTTTGAATATCCACTACACTCACTTTTTAAAGGGCTTTTCCTGTTTGCGTTTCAACTTCAAACCTGTAAATATTTTCGGCCTTTTTAGAAAATTTAGCCCACGTGTGTGCAAACATACAGACGCTACTGACCTCGGCACACAACCTCCCAGGCCTGGCATGGCCCAGCCTCCTGGATGTGAGAGGAGAGGGGTACCGGGCAGGGGCGGGGGGAACCCTCTGCCCACTCTCACACCCACCCTGCCTACAGGCTGGCATCAGGGAGGGAGGTGCTGAAATCCAGTCCTTTCCTCCCTGCCAGCCAGGGGATTGTGGCGCCTCGATGTTCCTGAAGAGAGTGGGCTTGGCCCTGACTCCGCTGTGCGGGCACGGTGTGGGCAGCTGCCCGGCAGGTTCTCCAACTTGGCCCAGCCCTTGGCTCCCCCAGGGCCTCCCCGGAGTACACGAACCCCTCCTCCGCTGCCTCCCAAGGTTGGGCCATTGTGGACGGGGGAGTTGGCGCTTTGAAGGCCAGAGCTTCCAGCATCGGCTCTGCCCCGCCTCTGCTCGGGGCAATGCCTGGGAGACCAGCTCCCTGGGGGAAGCCGTTGGAGGGCCAGCGACCCTGGGCCGGGGCTGGGCTCGCCGGCTCCCACCCCACCCTGCGGCGGCACACAGGGTTAACGGCGGGTTTCCTGGTTTCCATGGAATTCCGCCAGGCCCCTAATGTGAGTTTCGTGTGATTTGGGGGAAGTGGATTTCCTTTGTTTTCCAGTTTGGGAATATTTTTTTCTTTAAAAAAGAGGAAAAAACACTTTAATGGGAACTTCAGGGCCACTGGGAGACTCACTCCTCTGAGCTCTGACACTCCCTTGCTTGTTGGTCCAAATTCCCCAAAAGCCCTGGGCAGCCCCTTCACCCACCCAATACCTCTGGGTAGAGGCAGGGGTGGCTCAGACCACCTACAGCTCCCACCCCCAGAACTCTCTTCTGCTGGGGGCGCTCTACTCCAACACCATCAGAATGACCCCTGCCTCCCCCCCCCCGTCGTCCCCCCCCCCCACCCCTGAGATCAGCATCTGCTACAGGCGGCCAACACTGCCCCCGGCCAGGCAGACACACTCCCCAGAGAAAGGATCAGGAGAAACACTGCCCGCTCCCTGACCCTTGGCCAGGAGCTTGGGCGACCGGAGTCTGACCACCAGGAGCGATGAGCATGAACCGTACCAGGGTCTTCTGTGCTGGCTCAGAAAGGGGTCCTAGTGATGGGGAAAGGGTGTTCCAGGCCCTTGTCTGGCCTCCTCCAGCCTACGACGGAGAGGCATGCCCCGGGCAGCAAGAGCCACTGAATAAAGGGTGTGGCCAGGCCGCCGCCGCCGCCGCCGCCTCCTCCTCCTCCTCCTCCTCAGTCTTCCCCATTCCTACCATCCTTCAGCCCTGCCAGGGTGTGGCCAAGCTCAGGGACTATCCCCTACCAAGTGGCCTGACCCATTTACCAAACCAGGGCACAGGCCCCGGGGACTGCCATGGACGGGCCCCCCCACGCATAGGCCCCGGGGCTGTGGCAACAGCAGGATCCGGGTCCGGAGGTGCGAGCCCAGAGCACGGAGCTCTCTGGCCAGCAGCTCAGGGGGAAGGTGTGAGAGCCATGTGCAGTGACAGAAATAGCACTGGGCCGTTGGGCCGAGAATCAGGAGCCGTGGCTCTGAGTCCCAGTTCTGCCACTTAAGTCGCCCTGGGCTCCTGGACGAGCCATCTCGTCTCCCAGTGCCCTCACTGGTCAAATGGAGACAGCAGCTTCTTCCCTCCTACTGAGTGGGTGGGGGTGGGGGTGTCAATGATAAGAGATGTGAGCCCAGCCGGCATGGCTCAGTGATTGAGTGTCAACCTATGAACCAGAAGGTCATGGGTTCGATTCTCAGTCAGGACACATGCCCGGGTTGCCGGCTCAATTCTCAGTGGGGGGGTGGGGGCATGCAAGAGGCAGCCGATCAATGATTCTCTCCCTTCCTCTCTGAAATCAATAAAAATATATTTAAACAACAACAAAACACAAGAGATGTGAAAGGCGTTAACAGTGCTCCATAAACATCCTACCCTCTTCCTTCAGCCTCTTCAAGGTAACCTTCCAGAATCTACCTCGAGCCGGCCCATACGCCCCTCTCCTCTGCTCCTCATGCAACCCTCCCTGTTGCATTTAAATCCCCACCCGATGAAAGTCACCTGCTCACAAGGCTGTCTCCAGCACTGGGTTTCTAACCCCTCAAGGGCAGGGACCAGGTCCTAATTAGCCGTGCGTCCCCAGCAGTTAGCACACCAGCTGGCCCGCAGTGGGCAGCGAGGACATTTGTGGGACTGAACCAGTCCCTGATTTCATGTCAGAATCAGATGGGCCCGAGCAGCTTTGCGCCCCCCCCCCCCCCCCCCCCCCCGACGACAAAACACTTCACTGGCGACTTTCACACTCCATTCTGTTCAGTTCCCCTAAGCCCCAACCTGCGTCGTGGTCTCTCCCCCCTCCTTCATTAGCACCAGGAATGAATAACTTTCAGGTTCAAGGGGACTGCTTGGTTATTTGATCCTCCTCCAAATGACTCCAATAAGAGCTGGCTGGGCACCTACTATGTGCCAGGGAGCATGCTGGGAGCGGAGGGCACCCTCGGCTGAATGGTTGTCCCCCTCGGACAGTGGGCCTGTGTGCGAACTAAGCCGACTAATTTGCCAAGCACCATGCCAACTGATGGCACCGAATCTTTGCAACGCGAAGTAGGAAGGCTTCTGGTCCCTGCGGACAGACGAGGAAGGGCAGGCGCAGAGGTGCAGGGGGACGTGCCAAAGGTCACAGCTCGCAAGTGCTGCAGCCGGGCCTGGGCTCCGGGCTGACGGCTCCAAGGCCCAGCTCACTGGAAAGCTCCTCTCCGTCCCCGCCCAGGATCACGGCACCCACCCACCCACCCCGAATGCCATTTCCCCTCCTACATCTCAGCTCCCCCCTCCAAACAAGTCCCGGGGCCACCAGAAAGCACCAGAGGTCACACCGGAGGGAAGGCAAAGGCCGAGGTCAGGCGCTGCCTCCTGGCTCGGCTCCAAGTGCGAGAGGGAGAGTCCTGCAGGGAACCCCCTGGTGAGCAGGAGAACCCCGAAACCTACCTGGGGACCAGAGAGCCACCCAGGAGAGGGCCACGTAAGCGAGGAGGTGCAGTGGATGGGACAACTTCCGTTTCTTCTCTCCCGACAAGGGGCAAGCGATGGGGCTTTATCCTGGGTGGGGGCGGGGGGACAGAGATTTCTCCTGCCTCCCCCCACAGCGGGACCTCCTACTGCAATGCCGGGATTGAGAATAGGGCGGCAGGAACCTGTTTTCACCTGCGTGAGTGTATGTTGGGGTGGGGGTAGGGGGGTGCACCCATATCCTCCCCAAAGGAGGTGTCGGGGAAAGATCTACCCTGAGCGGAAAAAGGGGTGGAAGGGCAGGCTGGAGGTGGGGAGAGGACAGCGCCCTAACGAGCAGATTTCATAAACCACCCGGAGTGAAAACAAAAACACAGACGTGCACATTGCCCAACTCCAGGGCTGTATGGAAAAGGAAAAAAAAACAATAAAAAAATCCACATCTTAATACAAAAATCCGACACGATGTGTCGTGGCACGAAAGTGTTTTTCACTGCATTTTTCATCTGTGATCTCACACAGCCTACGACGGGTACGCCCAGCGCAGCCGGTATTTGATGGTAGGTACACAAACAGGGCAAACACATACACAATTAACCAACACAAGGGCAGCTCGTATGCAAATGGGTCCACGCCGGCATCTCCTGGCGTCAGGTGGCCTTTGGAGACGGACAGGTTGGCACCGAGAAGGGGCCCCTTCAGGTTTCTGAGGGCGAGAGAAATCGGGCAAGAACGCAGCTCACGCGGAAGGGAAGAATTCTCAGAACTTTACCAGCGGGACCCCCGAGAGCCCGCCTTTTCTGTGCGGACGGTGGTGCCCTGCTGCCGGCCGGGGACAGAGCGGGGACCCACACCCCAGAGGCCCTCCCGCGTGTCGCTCACCCCGCAGTTACGATCTGCCTCCCTTTTGTGCCACCCCTCCCCCTTTTTTAATTGTTGGATGAGTTTACAGAGCTGTGTGCCAAAAACAATCAACTCGAGGGAACAGAGTCATACAAAAAGGGCGTGTCCCCAGAGGAGACGGATATCCATGGAAACCACCACCTTTTCTCAGCAGCCTAGGTGAAGCCA